CGCTGACAATCTGGAAATGTGGGCCGGTGTTGTGCCAAATATCAATTGGCTGCCAATGGCATCCGCTGGAGCATGCATGGGAGGACTTTAACAAGAATTCAACAAGATTAACAATTAAAACCAATTATTTGTTTGCTCAAAATTATAGTAAAGGTGTGTCTCAGTCTAACTTTTGCTTAATAAATGCACTTTGACGGTCAAGTCAGCTGTATTTCAAAAGCCCATGCGCAGAAATAAGCGCGTACACAGTGCAAGTTTCTGTGCAGATTTAACAAGATAACCACCTAAAAAAATATTTGTTTACTCGAAATTATAGTAAAGGTGTGTCTCAGTTGAAATTTTACTTAATAAAAGGACTTTAACTGTCAAATCAGCTGTATTTCAAAAGTATTTCCTGCCTCGGTGCTCCGGGAGTGCACAGAGGGAAGAACTAAGGAAGAAGGAAGGCCGCACATTTCTTCAGAATTTAACAAGATAAGCACCTAAAACAATTATTTGCTTGCTTGACATTATAATAAAAGTGTGTTTCAGTTGAACTTTTACTTAATAAATGCACTTCAATGGTCAAATTAGCTGCATTTCGCCGTGGCAGAGCAATGAAATGAAGCTGATTGCTCCAAGCGAGCTGGACGAAGGTGGAAGGCTATGTCAAGCCGACTGTGTCATTAATAGCCACTTTTACCTATTACATGACACAACGGCATGCTATACTACTCTGGTGCCATCTAGCGGTTGAAAATATTGTGGAGAAGATTCTCAGTCATCCAGGACATAGTAAATTCAAAAACGTTCAAGCAAAAAAACAACTGGACTTTATATGTAACAGAAGTTTTGCTCCTCATCCGAGGAGCTTTCTCAGTTCAAAGAGCAGAGTGTGGGATTCAGGTCAGCGGCTGAAAATGGTAGTTTTCAATATTTTCAGTCAGAATTAAACAGTCATATCTCAGCCCAAAATTGGTTTATAAATATGGGGAAAAAAATCCATAAATATGTCGCTTCGGCCTATGAGTCGCAGGGTATGTAAATTATACAAATAACCGCGATTCATAGGGCAAAAATTACAGTATGCTTCCATTAAATAATGTTATTAATAATAATAATAATAATAATGTCATCACAATGTCAGCACTGTATGTTTCCATACAATGGCAAAATTAGTCTCTGCATTTAACCCATCCACCACCAGGTGGTGCAGTGGGCAGCTATTGAAAGCGCCCGAGGGACATTTTTGGGGATGAGGCGTGCTGCCCAGAGACGCCACGTGATGTGCAGTGACTGGGGATCGAACCTGGGACTTTCGGGTCCCAAGCCGGCTGCCCTGCCTCTACACCATCTCGGCCCCCTATTAAACAGCATGGAATACATTTTCATTGTTATGCTGATGATACACAATTATATTTGTCCATTAAACCCAATGAATCCAATCAGCTACTTAGACTACAAGCATGTCTTAAAGTCATAAAAACCTGGATGACCCTTAATTTTCTCCTGTTGAACACAGACAAAACTGAGGTTTTGGTTTTTGGACCTGAGCACCTTAGGAATGAATGTTTCATTCTTTCTCCCTCCTTAGATGCATTAATCTGTCCTCCAGCTCTAATGTTAAAAATCTTGGTGTTATTTTTGATCAGGACATGTCTTTTATCCCCCACATTAAAAACGTTACTAGAACCACCTTCTTCCACCTGCGTAATATCACTAACATTAGAAACATCTGATCT